AAAGGGGGGGGGGGGACTTAAACCAAAATGCCCAAAGAAAACAGTAAGTAACATTGCTGGGCATACCTTAACTGTACATCAATTACATTAGGTATACTATTTACTGAACAGTGCATGCTCTGTTTAGGTTTAAAACAGGCAATCTCACCACTGTCACTTTCCAAGAAATATCTTGTACAGGGGAACTGCTTTCAGAGGAGTTGATGTTTTTTTTTAAATAGGTCTGACAATATAAAAAGGCTTTTGGAGAGTCTCAAGGCAATGTGTGTGAATGATGTATGAATTTCTTTTTCAGCTATCAGTGTACCATTATCATCATATTACTGTTTCCTGAGAGTGACGCATGTAGGCAAACTCATTCTTTTGTTGGTCTCGTTGGGAGAAGGTTACTCCTTCAGCCTTAATCACTCAATTTCTTCCTATGTCTCAGTAGGGAAGGGCCTGATATTGCCAGGCGTAAGTGCTGTGGTCAGACGAAAAACCCACATCTCCAAAATGTTTTCAATTTTTTCAGAAATTAAAGGAACAAATACATGCTTATTTTCTTATAATGCTCATGCATCTTTTTTTAGTGCAGTGATTTAACAGATTCAAAGGGAACCTTGTTTAAACATAAAAAACTGTTTAAACTTCCAATCTGATTTGGAAAAAATCTGCAGTGATAATGTTTTTCTGCAAAAGTAGTGATGTCCGATTTTAGTGATGGCTGACATCCCAAAAGTATAGCACAGTATCTCTCTGTTTTTCTTCATGTCCTGACAGCAGTTGCAGGCTGTTGGCAACAAATAAATGGGTTGGATGGGAGTTCCTCCTTTATTACAACCCATTATGGTTATACCTGATGTTTGGTTCTTTATTCTGACACTGTTTTATAGTGAATGGAGCTGTTTAAGGTGTTTTTCATTTTACACTCTGGAATCAGTCTTCTGGCATCATCTGATGTTGAAAAAAAATGTTTATGTTATGTATGTTCCCAAATCATTAGCATCATTTTCATTAACTCAGAAAAACGTATTTAAGGTGTAGCAACAAATAACGCAATTTAAGTAGCAAAAAGTATGTGTTTGCTTTATTGAAAACAAATCCTCACCTCTCATCCTAACCTTAACAAGTCATGTGACCAAAAAACTACCATAGCTCCTAAACTCAGTCCACAGAATTACGAATTGGTCAAGCTTAACATTTAACATGTTAGTTAAACAATAGAGTCATCTAAACCCTAGTAATTTGATTCTTGCCTGATGACGAGTGCATTAAGTACACTGTTTTCCTGCCCCTCCAATCACAAAGGGCCTTGTGGCATGCTTACCAACAAACCCCCAACTATTGCACGATGAAACCATATCAGTGGCACCAAGTTATGAGGCTGGGCATTCCTGGCCATATGAGACACCAGTTCCAAGAAACTAAGTCTTAAGCACCCCCATAAACACAGCAACAGCAATATTGTCAGCTAAATATAGGTTTTCCTTTGCCTTCTCCCCCCCGGCTCCCCATCACTCTCTCATCGCTCCAGTGTGGATTGCAGGAGTTGATCATGGATTAGTGATTTGCTGTTTGTTGGTTGTCTGGGGTCTTATAATCTCATGTACTCATAGCGCTGTGTAAAACAACGAAGGTCTGGAGAAACTGAAACCTTGGCAACAGCTGTTGCCACTGCAATCAGTGAACTCAGGCTATGGATGGAGCATGGCACCGATGGCAAGTTGTAAAAATAAATAAATAAACTACCAATAAAGCTCTAAAACAAAACATGCTTAAACTATTGCAAAGTCAACCTTAGATGTCACCAAGACCCTAGGTGAAGTGATTGTAACCATTTGGTATCCTTCCCAATACTGGCAGAGGTCTCTCAGGTACCACAAAATAGAGCTTTCATTTATAAAAAATTTAAATATCAGTCAAGCAGAAAAAGCATACAATTACCAAAGCTTTGTTTAACACAGAGCTGTATCTACATGGAAGTTATTATTCAGTAATTGCTCAACAACATGGGAAACTCCACATTTCAGTACTGTACAGTCTAGTTACTATCGCCTTTGCTAAATACCTCTTAAGCCATAATGTCAGAGATAAGCATGCCTTTATTTTGTTGTATTCATCCCTAGGATTAGTTCAGATATGCAAAGATATTCTCCTTTAGCATTTGACTTGAATTCTGAACCTTCAAACTCAACTTTTTGTTGAGCACCAACCCCTGAAAGAATTAAATGGCTCTTAAGCTGCTAAATGTTCCACGTTCTTCACCAGTTAGTTGCTATCTTTGTCTGTCTGATGCTTGGTATCGGACAGGTATCGTGCAGTGTTTCAGAACTTGTACCAATATTAACATTTTCATTGTAGCAGCTTCATGTATTTAGCTTTTGCTCTGATCGTGGCAAATTTACAGTGCATAATCTTCAGTTACCTTATTATCAACTTTGGGAACAGCAGGCAAAGGTCAGAGTCACAGTAACCCTTTACTTGGTAAAACTGACGTTTATAGAGAGAAAAAAAAGTTGAACTTGAGCATGAATGAAAATGGAAAAGGCTGCAATTTATTTTCAAAATTTGAGTAAATTAGACTTGCGTTTGGTTTCCAAGGTGAATTACGATGAGGTACTATTAATAGTTCAACAACATCTTCAGGTCAGAGTTGAGTGAGTATCAGTTTTCATGTCATGACACTACCCAGCCGTCCACTGATGTTACCTGCATAACGTAGTCACTGGAAGCTGCATTCTAACACAGGTAGACATTCACAGAACATCATGACCCTCAGAATCACTTTACAACATTCAAACCTACATGGAAATTAGCTATTTTATATGAGTGAGTTTTCTCCACTTTCTCAATTTTCTCCATCTATTCATCTTTTTTCTCTCAATTTACATTTGGATTCAGTCTGTCACCTCATTCTTTATCAACTGCTTCTGTAAATTTAGTATTTTCACCCCTTGCTGCCTTCCCACACATGCACTCCACAACCATGCTTCCCTTCAGACATTTGACTGACGGTCAGATTTACATTCAAGGGCACCCAGGAGGCTACATATTTCAGAGATGGACAGGCTGCTGTGATTTACTGAGTGCTAACACTGAAGTAGCAATCTGTTTTACTTCACAAAAGTTGTGTATGTGTGTGCTCATGGGTGACTGGTGTGTGAAGTGGAAGGGGATGTTTTTTCAGAATTCAGAGCAAAAACATAACACTCTGACATCTGCTGAAATTTGCATTGTTATCTCATAGCAATTTTGTGTGGGTGTGTATTTGTTTCTATGGAATTGTGTGTGTGTATGTGTGTGTGCGTATGTGTTTGTGTACTTGTGTTATTACTTACAAGGACCAATTAACTATATAATGACAGAAAGATGTGGGAAATCCTTTAAAGTGGGCCTGTGTTTAGATTTAAAATACAAATTTAGGGCTGAGCCTAGGCTACAACAGAGGAGGGTTAAGGGAATAAATGTGGTCAGTGAAAGTCCTCATAACGAAGGGAAGTCATTACAGTAAATGATGTATTAGCCTAATGACTCTCCCAGGTTGACGCTAACATTAGAAAAAAGAGAACATTTTCCACTGAAACTCAGTAGCACAGCGTCTGCTTTCTTAACAGCTCTGAGGTGATGAGAGGCCTTGATGCTGGTTAATAGATTAATAGATTATCCCTGTGGCAATATGTGCTTAATGTGCATGTGTGAGGAACATTCAGCATGAATATGTTGCAGTCATTAGTTGCTCAGAATAAAAGTGTCCTTCAACATGCTCAAAAGAGAACCCTACATTTTTTGATGGTATTATGGCTGATTTAGAGTTTTCTAGATATGATGCACATATTTGGATCAGAATTCATAAAGTAAAGCACTAACACATGTTACAACAGATATAATAAATTAATAACAAGTACTAAAATATTAAGTTGGGTAAATGTGTATATTTCCCTTAAGAATTAAAGACAATGAAAAATGTTCTTATTTTTCACATTTCAGTGTTTGCAATGTTCCACAGCATCTTCACCAATGCTTCCAGGGAGGTTTTGGTTACAGTCTCAATGGTGATCAATATCTCTCACTTTTTATCATTGAGAGATCAGCAGCACAAGTTTAGACCTTCAGCCGTTCATGGCTCATTTGATCTTTCCTGTATCATGGTTGAGAAGAATGTGTTGGAAGTCCTTTCCTCTCCTCTCCTCTCCTCTCCTCTCCTCCTCAAACTAACCTAAAATGCCATATCATATTTCTCCGGTACAAACTGTGGCCACAAAATTAAAACATTTCCCTCTTTTCTTTCACAGAATGATGTCTTCCATGCGAGAAACACCTCCCTTTCACCCACCGTCTGAGGAAGAGGAAGTGATGGGTCAGGACAATGCGGCCTGGGCCAACGACAAGCGGGAGGGCCCAAAGGAGGCACAGTCTCCCTCTTCGCATGACCAACCCCACCCGGATGAGCTGCAGCCAATCAGAGAGAAGCTGACGGATGCTGAGTGGGAGAACATGGTGCCTGCTGCAATGGTGAGATGTGAATTACGCACAGAGCTGAGAAATTGACCATATCTTATCTTGAGATATGTTGCTATAACTCAACTCTATAAAATAAATGTGGTTAGTGTGTGTACACAGTGTACACACTCAGGACACACGACTCATAAAACACTCATGAAAAACATGCAGGAGTACACAGGGTATGCAAATTCTCATGCATAATGATGATTGTGCACAATTGAACATACATACATTTGAAAGCATGTATATTCATACACACACCCACACGCCAGTAGTCTTCTGTGGTCTGTGTGCTGCGGGCAGTGCTGTAGGCAGCCATGGGAGGGTTCTCCTCTAGAGATGGTTCTTCTCATCTCCACAAGCTTTTTTTTATGTGTGTATGTGTGTGTGTTGTGGTGTTAGTTACTTGGCTTCAGGTTCTGTTGGTCCCTAATGGAAGAGGCGTGTTTGACTTTAGCCTCTGAGGAAAGTGGAAAGTTTTGAGAATAAAGTTTCCTCAGGTATCAGGTAATGTTGTTGTGGCAGAGTCCAAGACATTTCCAAGACAAAAGTCCTATTCATTTTTAAAAGAATTTGAATTTAGGATTGTCTGATTTGACTAAAACATAATTATATTTTCTTTAGTTAATTTTGACATTATAACCCAATTATATTTAACCATTCTGTTAACTTTAAAAGCATTATATTAATTCAATTATTTGAAAATGTGCCTTTACTTGCATCATTGTCATGGTTTAAAATGACATCAAGGTCAAATATTCTTGAATACTTGAAGCAGGCCTTCTTCAAGCATCTTAATTTGCTAATTAAAACAGCAAATATCACTTCTAGATAGTTGGTAAAAGGGTAAAGTGGTGACACCACACAAAATAGCATTGTATAAACGAAACACTAATATGGACGACGGACATGGTGAGGATAGAAAAGGTGACCTTGCTACTCTACATCTTGCCACCAGACTCCACCAGTGAGGGACAAAAAAAAATAATTGTGGGACAAGTTTAGACTTCATTGGCGAATAAGTGAAGGTTTTTATAAGCTGACCAAAGCTTTTGATATGCTCAGTGAAATATTACATTCATGCATAATGCCTTTGTATCCAGAGTGACATTTAGTAAGTATCCAGATCAGAGTTCAGTGCCTTGCTCAAGGACAGCTTGCAAAGAGTCATGGGCTCTCATTGTCTGCTGCAGAGACTAAATGTGTGACCTTTTGGTATATAATATAATCTGAACTCAGGCCTTCCTGCCTTCACTACACTGCTTGTATAACTCCTGAGCAGCGTTACGGACCTGAAAAAACACACCTCAACAATCCACAAGTGACACACTATCTCCTAATCCTCATTACAGAGGCATCTTCCGCTTAAAGACAAAGTGCACAACAGGGCCTCCTGGAGCCATTTCAAGGGCGTCTTAAGATCCCGCTGTTAGCCAAAGCCCCTTGTCTTTGAAACATAAGCCTCCTAAAGTTCTTGGAGATCCCCCCACTCTGTAAGGGCAGGAGAAAGCATCCAGAAATAGCCCCGGTGTTAGAACACCTGTGCTAAAGTGTCTGTTGTGTGGGACAATGTGGTCGTCTTGAAGGGCTTATCTTCTTGGTAAATATAGACTCCTTGTGCCTCTTGCTTATCTCATAACTCAGCAGAGCAAACAGCAGTGGGATAGAAAACACTTTCGTCACGCAGCACAAAATAGGAAAGCCTATTAGATATGTATTATGTATTATCAACAAGTTTTAAGTCACCAGCTTTGTGTTAGCTTCATTGTTATTCTTAATTGTAAGGAAGAAAAATGTCTCACTTGAATGTTATTTCTAGTTATTTCTAGGCCTAATGTATGTCTAGGCATACATCAGTTAGCCACTCTGGATTCATATCAATGTAGTTACTTCTACTAGTATAGACAACTGTTTATAAATGTAGAGCATGGACCAAGGTGGTAATAACTGTGCCAACATGTTCACTACCGTTCATAAGTTTATGTAGTGGTTATAGTGAAGTTTTTCTTCTTTCCTTAAGTAGTGGCTATCTTAACATAGATAAAAACAACAGTACAAGTCAGCATCTAAATGCACTATTTACATTTAAAAGAATAAAACTTCCATTTCAACGATGCACCCACAGTGTTGCCTGACGCACGTGGAATACTGTCGTAAGCATCATCATCACAACATTGTCCAAGCTATTTTTGCATGCAGAATAACATCTATTTGTAAAGCGGACTTTCAACAACCTAAAAACATGATTAAATTCAAAAATATAGAGTAGTCCTCTCAGCCATCTGACTGTACGAATCAAGCTTTTATGGCAGGTGATTCCAGACTTTGAACAGTAGTGGTTTTTGGTTAATTTATGGGAATTTGTGCCCGGTAAAACTTTTTCCCTGGACTGCGATTCCATAATTCTTATAATAAGACAATAAATAAAATATTAAAACTAATCAGAGCTGTACAGTTTTTGATATTATTAATGACAGAATTTAATTACTAATTGCAGATTAGAAATTTGTGATTTGAGATAGTTTGTGATTAGGCATTTTATACCTTTATTAGAAAGTTGACAGAGAGCATTGACAGGAAATGAGGGGAGAGATGTGAAATTACTTTTTGACAATTTGTGGGCCCCACTCCTTATTTTGAAAAAACTTCAATTGCAACAGACACTGACTTGTATGTGTAATAGTAGAATAATAGATGAAAGAGTAGACCTAACCAATTTAAAGAGATGTGATGGGACACCACAGAGCTCCCGATGACAGATAGATCAACTACAGTAATTATCAGATTCTGTCAGTTGTAGATAAAGTTGTAGGTAAAATACGATCCTAACATTGACCTCTCCAAGTGTCACGCCTTCCAACCCATACCAAGGTAAAGCACCAGAAAGCAAGCATCAGCTTCATCAAAATCAAATAAAAAATTAGTAGGTGAGCATAATTTAGCGATCCCATACAAAAATCAAACCTGCATCGGTGCTGTTATTTTCCAGAATTCTAACCTTTGTTCTCTTTATTTTCTGTCTCCTCCCAGGATAATGAAAGCAGTAAAGGATGCTCAGTCTACTCCTACCGTACTAACTCTACCTCTCCACCCAAGCCAGAGGAGTTTTCCAGGGATCGCGGGGAGCCAATGAATGCTCTTGCCTTCGGGACGCCGGAGCGACGCAAAGGAAGCCTTGCAGATGTGGTGGACACACTGAAACAGAAGAAACTCGTGGAGCTGACCAAGACAGAACAGGATGGTAGGCAAAAGTCTTAATGAGCACATACTTAGACAGTTTCACAACACTTCAGACCTGGAGGCTGCAAAATATGGCCATTCTTCCATTTAGCAACATCACTGAAGCATTTGGCTGCTGTCATGGGAAAATCTTGTGTACTAAAATATGAACTTAACAGGATCTAAGAAAAACAGACTTGTTTGAATTGCAATGCATTTGTGGCATTATTTAAAGGTCTCGGAGAGAATGAATTGTATTATCTTATATGGATTTGATAAATTGTTGATCTGTAACAGTGACAGTTTACTCTGGATAGAAAGGGACCGAAGGGCTTTTCAAACTGTTTTAGATCAGGGTTTATTCCCTCATATTTGAAAGACAGGATGCTGTTGTTGCTCATTTACTCTTCACTCTCTCATAAAGCGAGAACAGCCTTACCTGTATTTTGTTTTCCCTTTTTTAACACATCCTTTCCAGAGGATCTTTGAACATCTAAAATTACAACTGACAGATCCCTTGCTTGTTAGATCACAATATCAATCAGTGAAAACACTGGTTTCCCTTTCTCCTCTACTCCTCTGATCTACACCACTAACACAGGAAAGCGCTGGAGTCTCCCAGCATGCCTCAGCTTGCCCCTTTCCACCCCACAGCAAGCCAGATCTAAAACCATCTAACACCCCTCTTTACTGTTATGTGCACATAGTAATCATGATGATATCAGAGGAGCGCTTGATCTCTCTCATTTAAAGGTTTTACTTTGTTATTGATACAGTAAAGTGGGCCAGAATGGGATAGCCAGAGGCGCAGTACAGTACACAGTGTCTTTAGTTGAAAGATAGGTAGCTTTGCCTCTTATCTACAATATGGAAACTGGTTTGAAAAGAAAAACTTGTGTGTGTGTGTGTGTATGTGTGTGTGTCTGTGAGTGTGTTCAAAAGTGTTGTGACATCTTCCTGTCAAATCAAAGGGGACATGAGTGGAAGGAAGTGCTGGGGGACACCTTTAAGTGTGTGTCTTCTTTTCACTGTTTTTCCATCACATGTGTAGGTTTCTCCTTTCCTATCAAACTGTTTTTTTTGCTGCAGCGTTAAATACTAAAGAGACTAGAAATAATCCATCATAGTACATATGAAACTGCATTTCGATTTCTCAGGATTTCTCGTTTTTTCATTTTGAACATGTCTCTTATTGGACATGGGGATATTTCATGCTTTTTAAATCGACAAGCAAGTTAACTGCACTTCGTATTCTAAACAAAGATGGCCAACAAAATGTTTCTTGATATCCTTTGCAATCATGTGATTCTTGGCTGCTTTTAGAGTATGTATATACATTAATTTACCATCTCTTTCTCTCTTGTTGTTTTCTTTTCTATGGAAACACAGTATTCCATAGGAATGTAAGTCATTTTGATGTTTTAATAGCACAGAAATAATCTATTTACAACTTAACATTGACTGTGTAGCAGAAATTAAGGATGCATGATGTATTCAGATGTATTCATTGGGTGCGCCCTGCTAGCTTACCTGGTAGAGCTGGAGCCACATATACCAAGGCTAAGTCCTTGCTGCACTAACAATGGGTTCGAGTCTGATATGTCTCCCTGTGCTTCAATGTATGTAAAGTCACTGAGAATATTATGATAAAGGATGAAAAGCCCTGATTCTTCTTCTTCAGTGCATCATGTTGAATATGAGGTTCCCTCATTTATGATTTGGGATACAGATTATAACTTCAAAATAAAAAACAGCACTGTAAACTGTAAACAGGGTAATAAAATAATAAATTAAAATAATTTGAAAAAGATGTATACACTTTTCATTGGCATTTGTCTAGTATCTGAAATAACTGTAAATACAGACTGAAATATCTCAGCCAATGATGCATAAAAATGACATTTTTCCAATTATTTGGGGGGGGGGGAAATAGTAGCTTCCCATTGACTTTGGCTCTTCCTTTCCTAATTAGCTATCCCCAAGGACTAGTGGCATTGATCATGCTGCAAACACTTAGCTAAGAGAAAAACAAATGAGATAAACATGTGCAATATAACCAGGCACACTCAATCATACACTGTTAGCATGAATAATAGCTCTGTCCCCGGGCCTTGTAAACATTCATGTGAATTGCTATGGTCCTTGAAGATGCATTGTGAAAATGTTTTACATGCACTGCTGCAGTAATGCAGTTAATATAAAGTCTAATGTAACCCTACATATAGTTACAAGTACCTCTGCTTTTTTCTCCTAATGAGTTTAGTTAAAATGAGAGGAGTTGATCAATAGATGGCCGAGGCTGAATGCTTCATTAAGTGAGGTCTCCTTCAGTGGCAAACAGTTATATTCAAAACTGTTGAGCGATAAATCTCCACCCTCTTTTTCTATTTCTTATTTGTTAATTTGTTGGAATAATGTTTCTTTAGTCATTATAACTCTTACTGTATGATGATGGGATTGCTGTTTCATTTTCCCTTTCTGTTTCTATCCTTCAGCTTTAGGAACCTTGAGGGAAACGATCAGTTTAGATTTAATAATCAATGTATTGATATGGGAATTACTAAGTGAATCTCTGTGTTTAATTGTGAGGTAGTCAACTGAGAGCCAACATGAAGGACAATGTACTGAGGAAGGCCCAAGGTATGAATAACACCTGATTGAATGACTGATTGAATCAACGTCGTCAGGAGGTCAACAACTATTCCTTTGTTTACTGCACCTGATGGTATATAAGGAAAGGCACTCTGACTCCTTTCAGAGAACAACCATGTTGAGGTCTTCTCTCAATTTGATTCATCACATCGAGTCTGTAATTCTTCAGAGAACTAGCAACTCTCAGTATTTTAGAAGAATTTCTTTAACAACCTTTGAAATCACTTTTGGCACATTTTTGGAATCCCTCTTCAACAGGCAACCTTGCTCACATCCTGATTCAAAGCATTGTTGTGGGTTACTGGTAAAGGCAAAGCATTCCAAATTCATTAGCTGTGAAATGTTTTGTTTTGTTAAAGGAATGTAATGCAGACAGGAGTGTTAGGCCATCCTGGTAAATCGGCTTATATATACTGATTCCTGGTGTGGCGCAGACAAGAGATCGTTTTGTATTTTAAACGTTTCACAGCAGAAAGCTCCAACGGTTATTCTTTTTCTGAATCAATAGTATATGTTCGCTTAGACTGATTGTTAATATGGTTTTGTTCAGAACCCTTTTACAGTACAAGAATCTAAAGCACTAGATTTGATCATCAGCACTCAAATGGCAAAAAAGAAAAAGCCTGAACAATGCTGCCCCTTGCCTCCCTGTCTGCTTCCTGCTGAAAAGGGTTCAGTCAGCGGAGCTCTCCCAGGTTAGATTGGCTGTATGATCAAATGGAGCAGAGCCTATTAGCCACTGAGCGCTCGCTTAGCCTAACATGGCTGACCCCTCTGTGCGCTATAGCCCTGAGCTAAAGTGTGGATGAGGTCGTTGTTAGCCTTCGCGCTGAGTTCACCCCCTGTCGGCACGCTGTTAGCTGTCAGCTACTCAGAGGAGCCCTAAGTGCCTGTGACAGTTCTAATGAATTGACATGGCCTCGCTTTGCAATGTGGAAGATTTTTTTTTCTCTTTGAGACTGTGTCAGCTAGCTGTATTGCCACACAGCTGGTTTCTGCAAATACATCCTTTCTGCCTAGACTTTCACAGCATAAAAGCCAAGAGGGTTAAGGTCCAACATTTTGCATTTATGTTGGGTTGCGCCTGCATTGTGTGAAGGTTTAGACACAAAAGCTTACTGCATACACAAGGCTTCCTGTGTACTGTTAGAGCACTTAGCACTTTTATTAAACTGGTTGGCTGGTTACTGAATAAAATGTTCAAGGCCAGGATGAGGGAACATCAGAAGAAAAAATGTGGGCACCAGACATGCTGTGGAATGGAAACGCTCCTCCATCCTCTGTCATTTTGTAGCTAAAAATAAGAGATAGAGAGGATGGGAAATGAAAGCCTGTAATAAACTGAGAAATAACCCAAACAATGACCCGTCTCTTCACATTGATAGCTGCCTCGTTAGCAGTCATTAATCTGAATTCACCTTGTCTCCTTGAGCCCTCAATACAAAAAGGGAAAAAGCAGTCAAGAGTGGACACATTTATCTGAATGCCAAACCAAACCATTCTGGGATGCTGCCCAATGGACATCAAACCAAGTGAACTGTGCAATCAAGCTACCTCAGTTTTGATGACTGAATTATCATTATCTGTATTGTTGTACCTCCCAGGGGCCGACCCACTGTTAATGGGCCCTGGCATGGGCACGGTACCCTCATGCCAACTTAGTCAGCCATCTAATGTGCCTAGAGCAGCTCTGGCGCCTAATAAACAGTTAACATCACTCTAATCCCTGCTTACACCCTAGCCTGTATGAATTACTGTACAATTCACGTTTCATTTGCAAATGAGATTGGTCTCAATTACCGCTACACTGTACTGCTGCAGAGTGATTATAAAATGGACACCTGTGTGGCTAATTCATGAATTTGACTGTATTTAAACTGGACTACAGTTAAATCTTAAGAGATATTTTCTCCTAAAAGTTATGGATGATATAAGAACAACACATCTGCTGCTGTCTTAGTCTGAGATGACAGCATGTAGACTTGAATGTAACGAGGACAGACGGTATACAAGTCGTAGATCTGATGGGACATTGCTCATGTCTTTTCATGATCACTGAACATACACAGTGTTGACAGTCAGTCAGACACTATTTGACTTTTAGCCATCAGTCTGAAGAGGTGTTGGTATAAGAGATTTGTACACAATATAATTTTAAGATAATGTATCCAATCCATTGCATTAAAACTCCATACAATTGTTATAGATGCCCAAAACACACAATTGTTAAAAGAAAACAGCAGCTTTTGCTGTGACCTCAAAGTTTCTACTAGGTATTCATAAAATCCCCAACCAATGATAGAGTTTCAGATTTGTGAATTTACCCCAACTGCCCCTCCCATAATATGGAAATGGGAAACATCACAACTT